TGAAATCACAGACTTAAGTGTTAGTTTTGATGGAACGTGGCTAACTCGTGGTCACACCTCACTTATCGGTGTAGGATGTGTTATAGATATGCTCACCGGATATGTTGTTGACTTTGAAGTGATGAGTAAGGTGTGTCGTCATTGCTCTGTGGCAAAAAATAAGCTAGGCCAGTCAAGTGCTGAATTCAGCATATGGTATGAAGGACATAAAAGCGAATGTGATATAAATCACTTGGGCTCATCTACATCAATGGAAATGGAAGCTGCATTAACCTTTGTGGAAAAGATCCACATCACTTAGATTCCGTTATATTACAGTATTATCCGATGGTGATTGTAAAACGTTTAACTACTTGTGCGAGAAAAAAGTGTATGGACCTGACATTGTGATAAAAAAGGAAGAATGTATTAATCATGTTAGTAAGCGGTTAGGAACAGCTTCGAGATCTACTGTAAAATACTGTCGTGCTCAAGGTATTTCTTTTAGGTGGTAAAGCTCATGGTAGTTTGAAAGAAGCCACGATTAAAAAATTAACTACTTACTACCAAAAGCTATTTTGAGAAACAAAGGGGATGTGAATGCTATGAAAACAGCAATATATGCTACATTGTTGCATAGCATTTCTACAGATGCTAAACCTCAACATTCGAAGTGTCCTGCAGGAGAAAACTCATGGTGTTTCTACCAATCTGCGATTGCTAATGGGGAAAAACCTAACAATCATAAATTAAATGTAGGAACACCAATAAATGAAAAGTTTCTTCCAAAATTCTACCGATTTATCAAAGACTTGCATCTAATGAATTGTTAGAAAGATGCATTCGATGTGGAACACAAAATGCAAACGAAAGTTTGCATAGCATGATTTTCACGGGCAAAGTGTCCGAAAAAATTTTCGTAAACAAAAGACGTGTTAAGCGGGCAGTAACAGAAGCTGTCCGCGAATACAATAAGGGTACAGTACGCACCATTGTAGAAACACAGAAAGCATTAGGTGTAGCTACTGGAGGTTCAACGAAACAACTTGCTACTATCTTAGATTGTCGAAAACAAAAATTTAGAAAACGTCGTCAAAATGACAGTAATAAGCTGGCTCTTAAACTTATTAAAAAAGCAATACATAAAAAAAGAGTTATTAGCTAGGAGGAGAGAAGGAATGACTTATGGCGCAGGCCAATTTTAAAACAAACCTGTTTTGAAAAATAATACATTTTAGCATAAATTTGTTTTACTTTATTTTATTTTTAGATATTGATTTAAGTAGCAAATTATTTTTATAAAAGCTTTTAAATTTTCTATTGTACATTTCATGTATTTTTATTACATTTATTTCATGTATTTCATTTATTTTTAATATATTTCATAGATGTTTCTTGTAAAAATAAGTCACAATGATATTTCCTATTTTTCGTAATTTTGGGCTCACAGACAGGCACTTTAAAAAAAAAAAAGCTTATATTTTTGTTTAATATTTTGAAATTGAATTGTATTATGTTTTATTTTAAAGGTATATATTTATACAACATATTGAAAAATTATTACAAAATTTAGACATTGTTTTGATATATATTTGCTGATTGGTATTCTTAAAATGCATTTTCTCAGTTCGAGTTTTTTTCATGAAATCATGGTCTTTAAAAGTACAAAACTTCTACAGATATTTATCAAACAACTTGAATTTTGGTGTGTATCTTTATTACAATGTGCTTAATTAAATTAGGGATCCATTTTTAATATTTTGAATAAAAAAAAATTTTATAAAAGAAAATGTAGCAGAAGTCATGTTTTTTTAGCTTTTTTTTCCATTAATGTTTACATTTTTATTTTTTCCAAAACTAATTTGTTTGTTGCAAAATCGATGTTATTACTCATAGTCTAATAAATCCCAAAATTTTGGTGTCAAAATAATGATAATTGTAAAGAAGAAGAATTTTGAAAATCGGTAAAAATTTTTTTTTAAATTTTAAATTTTTTTTTTTAAATTTAGGAATTTTTTCATGGTGAAATTTCTTAGTTTAGTAGTAACTGTTAATAATATACAAAAAAATATTTTAAAACCCTTAAATAAAAAAAAAAAAAAAAAAAAAAAAAATTACTTTCTTTCCTGGTGCCGAGTCCCCTAAGCTGAATATACATTAAGGTAAGATTGAATGTGTGGTCATTCTGAAATACACGATGTTTAATTGAAGTAAAGGAAGATGAAAGTTATTGGTATATAGAGGACTTAATTTTGGATTGAATTTAATTATCTTTACATATACAATTAGATTTGAAACTAAATTTTCTGAATAAATTTTACTTTTCATTTTCCATTACATCTTCAATTTTAAACTAAGCACCAAATTATTTCACCCAACAGATGGTTATAACACAACACTTCTAATCTTATATCATTATTTTTATAACCCATATGTAATCATTAACTTTTAATTATAACGCATAAACTATAGGGTGCTTAACACACCTCTATATAAAAGGTAAAGCTACTGAAAATTCAAGTTTCGCGTCGTTTTTTCTCGAGACAGGCATGCAGATTAAAATCGTTTTTAAAAAGCTTAGTGTTTACTTGAAAAATCGATGTATCTCTTTATTACTATTTTTCCCCTTAGATCCAATTACCTGAGTGGTCATTATCAAGTGACTATCGTTGGCAAAATTTTTTTAGTTTAATCATGGTTTCAACTTCTGCTTTAACCACACATTATTACATCGTAAAATATCGTGGTAAAATTGCATTGGAAAATCCTACTAAAGTGCATGAAAAATCGACTGAGCTCCTTTACTAGTCGGAAATTGTTCGACTTGTTAGCCGTGTAACAGAAAAAAATATTTTATATTTTTTAATTGTATTTTATGTTTGTAGAATTTCATAAAAGTTAGTACAAATATATATATATATATATATATATATATATATATATATATATATATATATATATATATATATATATATATATATTGTTTCTAGCACAATCCTTTTTTATCACAAAACAATAATAGTAACAATTTAAATTAGCATTTGCTATATGTAGATACATTGCTTCACATTTCACGCATAAGATTTCAGTTTTGTTATTTTTATGTATAAACACTGAAAGTTAGAAATTATCCATGTACACTAAAATGAAGTTCTAGTATCATTTTGATCGTAGAACTGCGTTTAAAAGCACTAAAAAGTCTAGTTTATGCACTAGAAAGTCATAAATATGCATAAAGTATGTTTTTTTAAATACTTTCTTAAAAAAATGTACTTTTAGGATGAGCAAGAAGAATTTTAATTTATTATTAATTCTGTAGTGATTTTTACAAATGTAATAAATGTCAAGAAAAACAAAGATAATCCAAAGATTTGAGTACATAATGATATTACTCAGTTTCAAAATGACAAAACGTATAGTTTCCAAGTAATAAAACGTACAAAATATTAAGTGTGGGAAAGATGTATTCAAAAGTAATAATATGTAAAATTATATTTTTGATAATTTAAAACGTAAACAACAGTCGTGTACTCCTTTCACACTTTCGATTAACAAAAAGAAGCATTATTTTTCTTTATAGAACTTCTTGGGAATTCTAATGAAGAAAGGAAGTTACTGCATACAAACTTTAAAGATATAAATAATACTTAACTTAAGTAGACCAGTAGTCTTCAAACTTCTTTGACTTGCGGAACTCTTAGAATTTTAAATATCTCCGGGGAAACCCATTTCACACTCATAAGATATATTTTATAATAACACTTAATTAAATCAAAAAATTTTATGAGCAATTTATGTAGACAATAAGAGAAAATTAAAGTATTTGTCATTAAAAATGATTAATATTATGTTATATAATATACTCAATATATTAAAACTAATTTGTGCTCTACGTTATATTTAAGAAAAAGATATGTGCACATTTTTTTCAACAATCTCTCTAAGTCTTACTCTTTTGAAAATAACTGTAACCGCACTTCTTATTCCGCATTTTTAATTTGATTCTGTATTTTGTTGTCTCATATGTTGAGAAAGAACTTTCATTTAAATAGTTGTTCAGAATCATATTAAAATGTTTATAGCTGTGTGAAAAATCATGTACATTCTTCGTGAACTTAGAGCCTAAATTTTAGGATCTGGTTTAGCATAGATTTAGTATAAAACGTCATCTATAATTATATATCAATAAGTTGTTTCCTATTTTTTATTAGTAAACCATCTAATTTATTGTAATACGTAAATGAACTTTAATCTGTTCATACTCAGTTCTTTGTGCTTTTCTGTGACCAGTATTAGGTTTTCTTAAAAATTATTTTCTTATTGATAATTTTTCCCACAAAAATAAAAATAATGTGAGTTTTCTAATAGATAGGTATTACATTTGAAAAACATTGGATAAATGAGTGTAAAATTATTTCGTGGACCCCTGCATAGTAAACAGTAGAATATTCCCTGAATGTAGTATATGTAATGAAAATCGTTTTAATATTCTTTAGAAACGCGTAGTCTTATAAACTCCACAGAGAACATTATTTCATTTTGCAAGCACACATTTAGAATTTTATTTTCTATTTTTTTTTATTTTTACTCGTGAAACCCTTGGGTCTGGCTTGGGAAACCTGAGGTTCTATGGAATACCGTTTAAAGACCGCTTCTATAGACTAATAATTAAGTAAAACCATTTTTTTTTAAAGAACAAATATTTATTTTCTCGTAAAATATCAAGACTGACTAAACTATCGTCGGTTAATTTACAACATAGATAACTTTAAAAACTGATATATATGCCCCACACATTTACAGATTAATAAGTTTTTTTACACTCTCATAAAAATAACGTTACGTAACATATAAACATTATGATGGAATAAAGAATAAGTTTAATTGCTGGGTAATATTAAGAAAGACATTTCGACTATATGTCAATACTTACATATTACAATTAGTAACCGCGTAGATATATTTAAAATATCTCATAATATCTAAATTCTATAACTTACGGTAAAAATAAAAAAAACGCCGTTCAGGAGCAGGAATCGAACCTACGAACACAACTGTCAATGGGATAACCCCCACCTTCGCAAACGCGGCCACTCATTGGATCCGATAACAGTAACGGGGGATCTAAAGCTTGCCATACTGAGAAGGCCTCATCAATTGCCGATGTAATTCGAACCACATTGTGCAACTCTGAGTTGGCATTTTATTTTTTACCTTTAATTCTTTTCACACAATTTTGTATGAGCGGCTATTGTGATTTATTTTGCAATACACCAATACTACATGAACTGAAACCAAAGGTTTGCCACATATTGCAAACGATGCAGCAGACCGATGCCGTAACCGCTGGGCCATCCTGAATGCAGTAAACTTTATTTGTGTTTTTTTAATATTTTTAGTTAATGATGTTTTAGTGTTATCCTCGTACAGTTTTCATGTTATACGTGTAAAATTGAAATGTATAATTACACATTAAAGAATGAAATAGTTTATTTCTTTAGTCATAAGGAAATAGTCTGTAAAGGCTGTTAAAAATTTAAACCTGCGGTATGGAAAAAAACGCTGCTCAGGAGCACGAATCGAACCTGCCACACAACTGCCACTCGAATAAACTACCATGTTTGCAGAAGCGGCCAATTATTGGATGTGTAATGAGGTTGTTCAGTATTACAATAATGAGGAACCCAATGTTTGCGATTCGATGATGGCATTTACAATTGCCATTGTAATACGGTCTAATCTCTTCTGAAAATCATCACATTCTAATGATATTTTATCTTTCACTTTTGATACATATTAGTTTGATACTTTAAACTTCTTGTAGGGAGGCCCCAATAACGTAATAACTAAGGGGGTCGTATTCTACAAACGATGCAGAAGTCCGATGCCATAACCACTCGGCCATCCTGAACGCAAAACGCTTTCCTTACGCTTTGTTTTCTTTCTATGTTTATTTATTCCATTTTTAGAGATGTTTTCCAACAATATTCAGACTACAGTTATAAATTCAAACACGTAAATTATTAAAAATTATCAAATGTGTCTCTCTAGTTAAAAAGAAATATAATATTTATAAATAATAGTCATTGGGGGGCAGAGTTACCTCATTCACACATACAGGTTTGGAATTATGAATTTTAAATTACACTTTTTATACATTATATTGTATGAAGGAAGTATTCCTACTTTGATAACTTTGTGTAATATGTTATCTCAAACACATTTGTTCGGAAGCGGGAAGTTTATTTACCAACAAAGCATTAAGACGTTCTATTCTCATCTCACGCCATAACGTCAACACCTTGGATCTGACATGAATTCTAGGACAGGTAGTTTCTACTTTTGGGAATACGGCTCCTTATAAAAAATTAGCAGGGATAAAGGAACAATAAATTTTAGCATAGAAGTTATTGCGTTTTTTTAATCTAGAGATGCACCTATTCATCCTGATTTGATCTCTGATGTAATACATCATTCTAAGGCCTGTGACACTCAGCGGTCATTACCTTAAGTACATCGCCAGCGATATACCGGCCAAATAATGCATTCCAAGTAATCTAAAGGGTGCCGACAGTATAAGTACCACTCACTTAAATATTTCTTGGAATAAAACAATTTTTACGAATATCCTACTATATTTGTGAAGAACACTCTTTTAATTCCATTCTTCCAGGATACATGGCAACACAGGTTCTATGATGAGTATTTTGGCCGGTCAGGTGAATATAGTTTCTAAGCGAAACTTTCGTTTTCAGCTGATAGTTTGATCGGATCGCGAGGATTATCATTTTTGTTCCGAAAATGTATTTAATGTCAAAACATAAATGTATTACTTATATGTATGTTAGTTAAGACTTTGGAAAATAATTTGACTATTATTTTAAGTGAACAGAGTGTATAATTAATTTTACAGTTGAATAACTCTCTGGTACTTATAAGTACTGACGGCCCATTGGATGTTAGAGCAAGAACTGAGTTTTTTTATTTCTCTTTTTTTCATCTGTGTATTAAATTGTTTGTTTTTTGGCTGTGTTGTAGCGTCATCACTGTAATGAAATAAAGTTATGCATTTTTGCATTTCTTTTTAGCTTAAATTATTTATTTTGTACTTTTATCTTTTTGTTTTAACGTCATCAAAACGTTTTTACCTGACAATCTGAGGTTATTTCTTACCATACAGTTAAATGAGAGAGAGAGAGAGAGAATAATCTATAATTTATTTAAAAATCAAAAACATGTTAATGTCTGTATATGTAACTGAGATTTAACAATAGCAGGAAGTTTTCAAGTGCTATTATTTCTCCTTCCCCCTTTTCTTAGAGTGTATAAGAAAAAAAGAAGCCTAATCTTCATGAGACTTTGGATTTGTAACAGAACCTATCATCTGAAAGCAGTGATGCACGAAGAGATGCCTCTTCAGATGAAGATTTCCAGAAGATTATCTGTTGGAATTTTCGTTAGATTCTAAAAATGACGATCAAGAGAATGAACAAGAATCAAAGTGCAGAAGTTCATGTTCAGGAAATACAGCATTTCCTTCCCCAGTTTGCAGTGGTTTAAAAAACATTCAGTCGAAATCTGCACAACATGTAATGAAATTTTGTGTATTTATGAAAAGAAAAACTGTTCTCTTGAATTTCATCAAAATAAGCATATTGATAAAACCTGAATTTATGTATAAAAAAGTAAATAAATTTTTAAAATTTCACAATTTTCAAAAATAAATATTCTGTGCTGTAAAATATTAGTGTTATCTGTTTATTTAGCATTTTTAAGAGTTAAAACTCTGTTAAAAATCATTCGGTCCTTTTGTATAATGGTTTTAAAACTGTACAATGAGGGTACTTAAAAGTTCCATTATAATTAATTAGCTCTAACGGATTTGATTTCCCAAAGTTGAGTATTTTATTTATGAATATCTCTCAATTTTTAATATAGTGATGCAAAAGAAAGTTTCACACGAAAATATTGCAGTAAATCATTATGATATAAACACATTTCAATAAAAGATACTTGTAATATATTAAATTTGAATGGGAAAAAGGTCTAGCTGAGAGAGAGAAATTAAAAATGAAAACATGACCACGAAACTTCATCCTAGGACTGTTCAAATGAAGGTAGCTATCCAGGAAATAAAGTCTCTGATCCTGAGAAAAAAGCGCCGACTCAAACACTCATTGCATCCCAACTAGGAGGTTCTTGCGACAATGTAATTAAAATTATTCATAAACATTTAAAGTTAAAAAAGATTTTTAAACCTAAAGCCCGTCTCCTTTTTTGAAGCATAATGCTGAAGAAAAGAAAATTGAAGAAAATTATGCAAAAAGTACTTAGCTGTTGAAAAATAGAGATTTATGTTAACACTTGATGAGTAATGGGCTTATTTAAGTAACTGTAATAAATGAAGATCAAATTTCTATTGCTCAACTGACATGATTGACCGTACGAAATGCCTTTGTCGGTATACCGTAAAATTTCCGAAGGGATTCATGGCAGTTGTAGGTTTTTCTAAAAACAGAAAATTATAAGTAAAAAATATAGTCAAGTAAAGCCAAATTTAATTCATTCTACTATCTTCAGAATATTTTAGAACAGATTTTCGAGGAAAAAATTACACCCTTATTCGGAAAGTACATTGATAAAGTTCAGCGTCATATGGACAAAACCTCTAGTCACACATCTAACTTAAATGCCACTTAAAAAAAGAATCAGAAGCCGGAATACAATGTATGCCATTTACGAGTACGCAGACCATACTCTTCTACAATGGACTTTCGGACATTTGTTTCATTAAAACAGTGCTTCTCAATTTTTCAATACTGGCGCCCCCCTTTTCAATCACAATTTTTATAGCGCCCCCTTATACATTAGTAATGTACTGAATGCAGTAATAATGCACTTGGACGCTAAAGCAACAATCTTTATTATAAAACGTACAAATTCATGACATAAGTATTAAATTTTGTATGTGTTACTTTTAAGCAAAAAAAATAAATTAAGTAATAGGATAATTATTATGTTATTTTTCCTTTCTCTAATTTTTAAATTAGAACATATTGCAAAATGTGGTGGTTGCTTAGAAGACAAAATATATATATCAGCTAAATGTAGAAAAATAACTCAGATGGTCAATTTCTAATCACAAGCATTCCTTTGAAAAACTTTGCTCTATAAGACAAGCCCAAGGAAGTCGCTAATATTTATAAAACTTGTTCTTAATTTAGTATTAATTAATTAGTTATAAAATACTCTGTGCAGCACTGATACATTCAAACTATACCGAGTGAAGTAACCGCTCTTTGCACAAGTTCATTTATAAGAAAATAAAACATTATTCATATAATCGCTAAATTGTAAGGAGAGTAAAGCCAAATGTGCGACAATGTTTACAAAAATGTAAAATGATTTTTTTAAATGATTGCTCAAATTATAATTAGTTTTGAGCGAACTGTAATTTTAAGCCTCAAAGAATCAGCATTTAGAATTGATGTTGAATAATGAACAATAAAAAAAATTCTGATGAAGAATAATTGTATTATTTTTAATATTTAAAGCGAAAAGACTGCAACATGTTTTAACCCTGGAGCAGGCGCGCACTCGATACTAATGGTCGAGCGGTGTTAATGAATCACCCCAATCCTTTTTTTTTATATTTATTTTTATAGTACACAATAAAAATCGTAACTCCAGTGAATAATTTAATTAAGAGAAAATATACTCACCCCTACTTTCAAGGACAAAGAAAATATTTCGGAAAAAAAGTTATCACACCGGGAACTCAGACAAAACAAGTACCTTAAGATCGTAAAAAAACGTCTGTCACTCCCAAAAAAGAGGGAGATATGTGACAAATATATTTTAGTTCACGTTAAGATTGTCAAACAGGAGGATGGTGTCAGGGCCATTGGTAACAATTAAACAGTTTTGTCAGAATTACCGATTTCGTGCACACTGTACTCGGTGTGACCTCTTCGGGATTAAAAGTGTATTTATTACAATATGGATGTTCTAAAGAAAATGATGTAAAACGTTTTTCCTTATGCTTGGCTTAGTAATCCTTCAAACTTCCCTAAATGAAAAAACAAATACTTAAGAGCAGGGACGTAACTAACCGTATAAAGCTCGAAAGTCAAACCGCAGCAAATACATTCTGCTGCCTACAGCTGATGGCAATAATGTATAACAGAGATAAACTTTTTATCTTCCTAAAAATTTTTTGATTATGGGTCTGGGTTTTGTATTTCATCTGAAGGAGTAGCATTTTCGCTTTGAAAAGAAAACGTAATAAAAAAATCTCTCATCATGGGATTACAGCAAATTGAATAAAACCTTTTTTATTTGGTTATAGTATCAAAGGTAGC